CTTGCTGAGCTGGAGTCTTAGGAAACAGTCTCCTAAGTACTTCTCCAACAGGGGCAGAAACGGGCCCGCCAGCTAACACCTGACGTTACGGAGGGCCCCCCAGGCAGCTGCTAGCAGGGACAAGCCCTGTGCTTCCTGTAGCCAGAGATGAGGAAGGGGCCCCAGGGCTTGGGCCTGGCTAGATGCCGCAGCGAGGGCCTTCACAAACCACGGTGCACGTGGTCTTCCTGTCCTGCGCACAGAGCTGCTGGAGCCTTCGTGGTCACGAGACATCAAAAGCTTAACATGGCATACACAAGCCTCAGGACTTGGCTCATGGCGCTGGAGCAGGTCACCAGGCCCGGCACAGAGGTGAGCTGTGTTCTCCCAGGGCCCGTCACCCCCTTCCACCTCCTTGGCCATTGGCACCTGTCTCCCTGGCCCAGCGGCACCCAGCTACTCCCCAGCGCAGCTGGGTGTCCCACCTCTGGTGTGGCCTGGGCTGCTGTGTGTTCTCAGGGCCTGCCACATCTGTTATAGCTTGTTCTTTCTTTCTGAACCAGCACCTACTCCAAGAAGCCTCAGCTCAGCAGGGATGCCTCCTTCTGAGCTCTGGCCAAGCCTCTGGGGAGCCTTGGTAGTCGGTGGTGTCGTCATCTTGGGACGCACATATCTTACTAACCTGCAAGAATGAAAGCCCTGTGGCTTCCTCTGCTGCAGGGCATTCAGTCAATATGCTGAGGTCCTGTCTGGTTGCGGCTAACTGGCAGGGGCCATCTCCACCCATTCCTCCCTTGTGCTGTGTGTGCCAGGAGAGCCGGGCCCAGTTGGCCAGAAGGATGTGGACGGGCCCAGCCAAGTACAATTCTCCCCAGTTGCTCAAAGCATTTGATGTGGAGCATGCCACTTGGGCTCCCTAAATCCGTCTCCTCATAGGTGACACTGCTCCAGGGCCCCCCAATGGCCTCTGAGACCTGGTCGCCTCAGGGAAATGGAGCACCGCCATCTCCCTGGTTCAGGTGTGGACAGCCAGACCCTTGGCACACTGAGCACACTGGCATGGCTGGTAATTTCAGAAGGAAAAGGGGCTGGGTCCAGTGGGAAGGAGTGGTGAGCCCCTCGTGAGTGGTCTTTGCAATCCTGGCGTCACGGCAGAGATGTCCTCGCACAGCCTCCCTCTTCCTCCTTGGAGAGCACACCCTGTCCCCACCCGAGCGGTGCGGGCAGCTCCAAGGCTGCAGAGCTGAGGATCCCTCCTGTCCCTTGCCAGGGCTGTGCTCTGTGCCTTCGGTGGTATTCGGTTTTGGCTGCTACTGGCTTTGTTCCAAAGAGGATCTAGAAGTCGCTTCCCCTGTGTGGAGTGTGGAGAGCCGGACGTCAGATGAGGGAAGTACCGAGCTCGAGATGAGTACCGGGTGGAGCCACAACAGAAGGGACTGGGTAGGGGCCTTGCCTCCTCGTGAGGTGACAGCCAGCCGAGGACCGAGGAGGCCCTGCTCCTGGTGGTGTGGGGTACACCCCTCAGGGAAGCCTGCAGTGGAGCCCGAGGGAAGAGGCATTCTCCGCGAGCCCACAAGTCTGGTCCATGAGCACCGTGACAGTGCCCGTGGGCACAGAGGTGGACCCAGACCCACCTCTGTGCTTGGAGTCATGGCTCTGGAGAGGGCATTCGGACAGGTCCCCAACCTCACTGGAGCAGGCCAAACCCTGTTCCTGAGGAGCCGGGGCTTCCTGGAGGAGGTGGGCCTTCTACTCACTCCTTCACCTGCAGCCACTCCCTGGGGCTCTCTGTGCCAAGGCGTCACCAAGACCTCTTTTGGGAAATCCTGTGGGCATCCCTTGCGGTTCCCCTGGGCTCTGCAGCCCCAGCAGCCTGGCTGCCTGTTGGGCCAGTGGCTCACGCCACCCAGAGGGCCCGGCCCTGTTGTAGCCACACCCTCTGGGGTCCCTGTGGTGGGGCCGGCTTTCTCCACCCTACTCCAGGCCTCCATGTATCCTGGTTGCTGGTGGCTGAGCCATGGGTGGGCCCCATGGAGCCATCAGGTCAGGGTCAGGGTCTCCTCGGAGGCGGAGGACTGAAAGTTGCGGGTCTGGGTTCCCCTTGTGTGCACAGGCCCCTGCCCTCTGTGCTTGGTCAGGCAGCTGGCCCCAAAACTGCTGGAACAGGCTGGCCCTGAAGTGGCTCCTGGCCCCTGTACCCCCCGGAGAGCCCACCCACCCGACCTACCACCCTGCCTCAGTGGTGGCAGTGCCGGCCACATCCTTCACCTCCTGGCCCCAGTTGCTCTGGGGAAGTCGAGGCCCCTCAGCCTGCCCAGAATCCCCCCTGACTTGGACCCAGGACTCCATGTGCTTCTCTGCCTTCACCCAAGCTCCAAGCTCCTCAGCTGCCAGATCCCCACCCATCTGCACAGGCTGTGCTCACCATTGCTACTCCTGGAAGGTGCCCCTTGGTGGGATGCCCACCTCTTTTGTAGTCTACTGTGTTGGGGAGCCCTCCTGCCCCCACCTTTGGTCACTTAGTCCCCGTGTCCTGCAAGTGGGGCAGAGACGCCACCCAGAAATGCTGAGTGGGATGAGTCTGGTTGGGCCCCGCCTCATTATTTAGCAGGGGAGAGACCTCGGGAGCATGCTCCTTGTCTGAGCACAGCAGGGCCCCAGCCCGTGTCCCAGGTCTCCACCATGGACAGCTCCTGCCGAGGCCTGACCTATCCCTTCTCCCGCAGGTGCTGCTGGGTGGCCAGCCCCTGGCCCTAGGAGACCCTGCAACGACCGAGGGTCCCAGCAGGCCGTGCAGCAGTGCCAAGGTACGAGCCCTGCCCCCCAGCAGGGGACAGATGCAGGGACCCTCCCCGGCAGGGGCAGCTGGGTGCCTGGTGCTGCCATCTGCTGTCATTGGAGGTCACTGTGAAGGCTGTGCCTCAGGAAAGGCTGCGGAGCTTGCCCTGTCCAGGGCCTCCCGTGTGCACGGAGCCTGGGAAGAGAGGGTTGGAGTTAAGCCTTTTGCCCTGGAAATGCTGCCTGGAGGGTGGCGTGGGTGTGGGGTGGCACCCTGCCAGCCAGGGCTCTGCTTCTCTGTGCCCAATGGAACTCGGGCATGCAGGAGTTAGGTGCCTCCTCTAGAGCTGCCAGGTGGGGGCCCCCAGCCCTGGTAGTGGTGTCCACTGCCCAGCACCTGCCCCTTCAGTTAGGACAGCAGGCCTGACGCTGTGTCCCCAGCAGCTCCAAGGCGGATTTGTGGAAGGCTGTAGGGGTCAGGGAGGGGCGCCATGAGCACCCCAGCGTTTGCCATGCTGGGTGATAGAGTCAGATCCCGTTACTCCCGTTGTAGAGGTGAGGAAACGGAGGCGAGCGGGGAGAACATGACTAGGGTCCACGCTGAGTCCCTAAAGCTACAACCCAGAACACACTGCCGGGCCCCCATGCCTTTCTGCCTACCCCATGTGCCATGTGCCGGGAGATGCCAAGAGATGCTGGGAGCCAGCCCCACCTCTGTGCTTGGAGTCATGGCTCTGGAGAGGGCATTTGGACAGGTCCCCAACCTCACTGGAGCAGGACAAACCCTGTTCCTGAGGAGCCGGGGCTTCCTGGAGGAGGTGGGCCTTCTACTCACTCCTTCACCTGCAGCCACTCTGTGGGGCTCTCTGTGCCAGCCCCCAGCACCTAGGGCTGACCTTGGCACAGTGCTAGGCAGTAGGAATGGTGTCTCCTGAGGCCCAGAAGGAAGGGGCTGGACTAGTCTCATGGGGCTGACCTTGACAAGGGCCCGGTGTAGGGGTGCAGAGCCCCCTCTGAGTTCCTCACACATCCCTGGGGTCCTCCCGGAACACTTCCTATCCTGACTGCAGGCAAGAGGGAGCCCCAGGCCGGCCTCTCCACGCTGGGCACCCACAGTGGGGCCGGACACCCCTGCCACGCCCCAGCCCTTTCCTTCCCCTGATACACCTCAGCCCCACCTCTGAGGTGCCTCAGAGAACAACAGGGGCAGTGGGCAGAGGCTGAGGTGCTGCCCACACCTGAGATTCTCTTGCAGTTGGCCAGGCCTGAGGAGGGGAGGTGGGTGCCCACTGTCCCTCTGCTGACCACAGTGGCATTGAGCCTGGAACACTATGCCCAGCACGGCCCATCCTGCACAGGTGCCGTGGGCTCCACGGAGCCCTGCCTGACTTGCACGTATTACGTTCTGGGCACTGATGCCCTTGGGCAGCACTTCTCCGGGCAGAACCCCCAGGCCACGCACTCCTGTTCCACTGCACCTGGGGCTCTTGGCAGGCTGCCACCCCTGGCCAGCCTGGGGCATCTCAGTCCCTCAGCCCCACAGGGCCTGCTCTGCAGCCCGGGCCTCTAGAGCTGTCTCTGTACACTGTGCCAAATCTGGCAGCCTGTCAGCTCCCTGCCTACCCAGGCTGTGCCCTACCCTGCCCGTGGCTCTTCCTAGGACTCCCCTGTGGCCTCCCCTGGGCTTGCTGGACTGATTCCTCCCGTGTCTCAAACAGAGCTCGCCTCTGCTGTCCCTGCTGTCCCTGCCAGCCGGTGCTAGAGGCCAGGGTCTGTGTACCCTGCATCTGCAACTCTGGGCAGGGCTGGGCTCTGACCAACCTGCACTCCCGGTGTCCACAGACCCGAGGCCCAGGGTGCCCGGGGGCTGAAGCAAGAGAAGCAAAAGGAGCAAAGGGCAGGGTGTGGGCTTCTCGTGTGGGCCCAGCCCCGGTGTAGCCTGGCTGGGGCCCTCTGAGGGAGCTTGAGGGTCCCACTCCCGGGACCCCAGCCAGGCCAGCGGCCAGCGTTGGAGCCTCAGTCTCCCCATCTCCTGTCCTCTGTGTTTCTCCCACCTCTTGCCCCCTTTCTGCCGGCCTGGTCCCACCCGAGTCCCCCTCTTGGCCTGCCTGAGCCGGGGTGGCTCTGGGCTGGGGGCCGATCCGCCTGGGCGGCGGTGGGAGGCAGGGCCGGGAGCCGGGCGCCGGGTCTGGGCCTGGCCCCGAGCTGCGATATTGATGGCCCGTCAGTGCGGCCCTGATTCCTGTGCTTTCAGTTAAAAGGTTTCTGTTGTTGTAGCTTATGCAGTTGCTCTGTTGCTATGGAAACGTGACATCAAAATGACGTTTCCCGTTTAAAAGCTTTTAACTAAATTCCTGCCTGTCAGATGTAGGCCCCATTTTGAGCGTGGAGCTGCCTTCGAGCGCGCGCGAGCGGCGCCTCCGCCCATGGTGCGTGGGGCCGGGCCGGGGGCCTCGCTGAGCGCGCTGTCCCACCCCGCAGGCGCCTCCGGCATGGCAGCGGCCGAGGGGCCCGGCTACCTCGTGTCCCCCCAGGCGGAGAAGCACCGGCGGGCCCGCAACTGGACGGACGCCGAGATGCGCGGCCTCATGCTGGTCTGGGAGGAGTTCTTCGACGAGCTCAAGCAGACCAAGCGCAACGCCAAGGTGTACGAGAAGATGGCCAGCAAGCTCTTCGAGATGACGGGCGAGCGCAGGCTGGGCGAGGAGATCAAGATCAAGATCACCAACATGACCTTCCAGTACAGGTGGGCGCCCTGGGCGTGGGCCCCGCGGGGCTGGTGGGCCCGGGCGTGGCGGCCGCTCCCGGCTGTCTTAGAGCGCTGAGTTGGAAGGGCATGTGGGTCCTGGCCTGCCTGTCGTCCTCCACTGGGTGAGATAGGGCCCACGGAAACTGGGTGCAGCCTTCTGTTGGGGAAGTAGGGAAACTGAGGCCCAGCAAGGGCGGGAAGCTGGTCAAAGAGCTGAGGGGTAGCAGGGCTGGGGCTGGTGCTGGGCAGAGACCAGGATGGCTCCCGGGGTGTCTGGGCGGTCTGGGCACTGTCCCGTGGAAGCAGCCCCACTCACGGTGGTGCCCACGGACCTCACACTCTCCTTCCCCGTCAGGAGGCTGTGGCTGCCAGCGCCCTCCCCACCACCAAGTCCTCAAGCTTCCCCTGTGCCACTGGGGGAAACTGAGACTGCAGGTGAGGAGGAGGCTCTGAGACTTTGAGCATCCACTGAGCCCCTGCCATGAGCCTAAGAGCCCCGCTGGGGCTGGCCCTAGGGTCAGAGAGGGGTATTTCCAGAAATCGTCAGAGGTGCAGGACTGGTCAACATGTGGGCGGGGCTTACTGTGCGAAAAAGAAAGAGGTGGAGCCCCGCCCTGGCCCAGGACTGCCAGTGTGGGGCTCCCAGCCTGGCCCCACCTCTGCCGCCTGCCATATTCCAGGTCAGCCCTTCCTGCAGGGAAGGCCAGAGGGGAGGGGACAGGTGTGGTCCCACACATCCAGCACTTTATAGGACAGGGTCACGGGTGGGGATCATGGTGGGGTGAAGGTCACAGGCACAGGCGGGGTCACCGGTGGGGTGAGGGTCTTGCAGAGTGAAGGTCATGGGCCTGGGGCGAAGGTCACAGGCGTGGAGTTGTGGTTTTGGGTGTGGGGAGGGTCTTGCTTGGAGCAAGGGTGGCAGCACTAGCTGGAAGCCACAGGGGGAGAATGGCCCTGTGGGCAGCCTGGCAGGGCTGGGCCTGGGGCTGCAGGGGGAGAATGGCCCTGTGGGCCGCCTGGCAGGGCTGGGCCTGGGGCTGCCCGGAGCCTCCAGTGTCCAGGGTGGGAGGGACTGTCCTGGGGGTGCCTCACTCAGCTGCTCCATCTCCAGGTCAGGCAGGTGAGCCCGGGGCAGGGAGGCTGGGAGCACCTGAGCACTCGTGGGAAAGGCCACCCCCACTCCCCCAGCAGGTGAGGAGCCCGCCTCCAGCACAGCAGAAGGGGAGCCCCAGCCCCCAGCCCTGGCAGGAATAGGGAAGAGGCCCAGCAGGGCCCCGGACTGACCACCAGGCCGTGGGGTCTCCGCTTTCAGTTGTGTTGATTTGACTTTTTATGAGCCTTGAAGGAGGGGTCCAGGGCCTGGCCCTACCCAGGGTCCCCAGCCAGGCCCCAAAGCCGGGACCTAGGGTGCTGAGCATGACCGATGTTGGGTTTGAGCTGCCACCTTGCGACACGAGGGCTGAGGTGTGAGCCTGGGTGTCTGCAGAATCTTGGTGGGCACAGGCAGCTGCCCACAGCCCCACTGTCCCCATGGCCCCACTGTCCCTATAGCCCCACTGTCCCCACGGCCCCACTGTCCCCGCGGCCCCACTGTCCCCACGGCCCCACTGTCCCCGCGGCCCCACTGTCCCCACGGCCCCACTGTCCCCACGGCCCCACTATCTCCGCGGCCCCACTGTCCCCACGGCCCCACTGTCCCCACGGCCCCACTGTCCCCGCGGCCCCACTGTCCCCGCGGCCCCACTGTCCCCATGGCCCCACTGTCCCCACGGCCCCACTGTCCCCGCGGCCCCACTGTCCCCGCGGCCCCACTGTCCCTATAGCCCCACTGTCCCCACGGCCCCACTGTCCCCGCGGCCCCACTGTCCCCACGGCCCCACTGTCCCTGCGGCCCCACTGTCCCCACGGCCCCACTGTCCCTATAGCCCCACTGTCCCCACGGCCCCACTGTCCCCACGGCCCCACTGTCCCTATAGCCCCACTGTCCCCGCGGCCCCACTGTCCCCACAGCCCCACTGTCCCCGCGGCCCCACTGTCCCTATAGCCCCACTGTCCCCACGGCCCCACTGTCCCTGCGGCCCCACTGTCCCCGAAGCCTCCTGGCCCTGCTTAGGCAGCTGGTGAGGAAGGGACGCAGAGGGCTGTGGGAGGTGGCTGCGGCTGTTCCAGCAGGCTCCCCTCTGACTCAGGAATTCACGGGCACCGCCTACCAGCTGCCTCTGGTTGGTGTCTGGCCAGGTTATTCATTATTTATCCTGAAAGCCTCTTCAGAGTCCCAGGGGAGGGTTTCTGTCTCCATTCCTAGAGGCTGGGAGATGAGGGTGCAGTCGGGTGGGGGCCTCCACTCCCGACCCCGCAGTCTGGGGGCGCCAAGGGCACAGCACCTCACGGTTTATGACGCACTTCTGCACCGCAGCCCCTCACAGCTGCCACAGTCAACCTTAGTTCACCTAGGGGGAAACTGAGGCCCAGAGCATGAGAGGGACTTGCCCAAGGCCACACAGTCCTTAACAGGAAGTTGTGGCCAGGTGACTCATTCTTCGTCCTTTCTTTATACCCCCAGCCTCCCTATAGCAGAGGCTTTTCTTATTTGGTTTTTTTTTTTTTTTTTTTTTTTTTTTAATCAAGAGCTCTTTACATATTAAGGCTGTCAGGCTGAAGAAGTCTGAGAGGGTGGCTGGTTCTGTGGAGTGAGGCTGTTGGAGTACAGTCTGGGGACGTCCTATGCTGAGAATAGGCCTTTTCTTGTTTCTCCAAAGAGTGGGCTGGCTCGAGCAGGGCAGAGAGAGAAGCCTGGCGCAGAGGTCGCCTGCCGTCAGACACTCCGTGCTGGCGTCCTCTCTCGGCCCCTGCTCACCCCCTGGCCGTGCCTGCTTGCTGGGGGCACCTCACTCAGAAGCGGCTTATTGTTTCCAGCGCCCGGTGGCAACACCGGAAGGTAACAAGAGTAGGAGAGAGGACACGCCCTCTTTGGGCACGGGGCGGGTCTGGAGCCCGGCCTTGGGGCCATCTGTCCCTCAAAGGCAGAGTTGGGGGGTGGGCTCTGGACCTTATGGGGTACTGGGTCTGATGAGGCAGAGACCCCCCCACCCCACCCCCATCTTGTAGCTTCTTCCCTTGCCTTGACCTCCCAGAGGGCAGCCAAGGCCCAGGGGAGGCCTGGGGACTCCCCCAGTCTCTCAGAGGGCAGGACCTGTCTGTGGGAGGAGGTGGACGCAGGGGAACCTCAGGGGCAATGAAGGGTCAGGCAGCGTGGGAAGGGGCCCATCAGGCCGCGCCGGGGCCCCCAGGCAGGCTGCAGTTTCCAGTGCTGGGTCCAGGCTCCTGCGCAGACCGTAGGTTCAACCGGCCGTGGCGTGGGAGCCCGGCCTGCTGCTGCTTTATGACCCCTGCCTTGCCTCTGGGGGAGGGGCTCACTTTGATCATCCCCACGTCACTGATATAAAAACAGAGGCTCAGAGAGGTGAATGAACCTGCCCAAGGTCACACTGCCAGGTGTAGAGTGAGATGCTGACTCAGAGCTGTGGACGCCGAAGCCCGTGCTCTCACGCCAGGGGTTCTCGCCCCGAGCCGTTCTCTCCCGCACAGCACAGTCATTGTAGACAAAGTCGTATCCCTGTACTTTTACAAACTCTTATGATACCGTATTATTACAATCAGACCTCATTACTCTCCCTTTCAAAGTGACTTATTTAAAAAGCGGTTGTTTGCTCATTGCAGAGAGTTTAGAAACTACAGAAAAGCAAAGGGGGGCGACAGGCTCAGGCCCGAGGTCCCAGCACGCACAGGTCACCTTAGCAAGACCGGGGCGGGTGCTTCCTTGTCACATCCCAGCCCGTGTGGATCCCGAAGCCTGGCTTCCTTCTAAGCCCACTGTCATCTTGACCCGGAGCCTGGCTGATTTTGCAGGGGAGGCCCTCGCTGGCCGGGCAGGACAAGGGGCTGGGACTCGCTGTTTCTCACCCTTGGCTCTTGTGTCTCTCGTTTCAGGAAATTAAAATGCATGACAGATAGCGAGTCCGCCCCGCCCGACTGGCCCTATTACCTAGCCATTGACGGGATCCTGGCCAAGGTCCCTGAGTCCTGTGATGGCAAACTGCCGGACAGCCAGCCGCCGGGGCCCTCCACGTCCCAGACCGAGGCGTCCCTGTCGCCGCCCGCTAAGTCCACCCCTCTGTACTTCCCGTATAACCAGTGCTCCTACGAAGGCCGCTTTGTGGACGATCGCTCCGACAGCTCCTCCAGCTTACTGTCCCTTAAGTTCAGGTAGTGTGTGTTCGCTCGCCCTTCCCCGGCCCTGGGGTGTCTCGGCCTGCCCCCACCCTCCAGAGAGAAGGGCTGGGAGTGGCGAGGGCGGCGGCAGCTTCGGTGGTCGCAGAGGCAGCTTCGGTGGTCGCGGAGGCCGTGGCCGTGGCCGTGGCCCTGGGCGGCGCCTCCAGGGACAGGCAGCCTTCGGACCAGGGAGGACTTTAGTGTCCACGGGCAGACCGAGTGTGTCTCCCAGTTCCATCACTTTTGAGCTGCACCGAAAGTTCCTTGACTTCTCTGGCCTCAGTCCCCCTCCTACAAAATGGGGATAAATCAGTACCTTTCTCAGAGGGTGGCTGGGAGCCTCGCGGGAGAGGGAACGCAGCAGGGGCCCGGCACACGGAGGGAGACCGAGCCCCAGACCCAAGAGCACGCCCTGGCCTCCCTCGCCCCACACAGGCCCCACCCGCGCAGGCCGGCTGCCCTCTTGGCACTGGGGAGGGTGTCAGGCTGTGCCTTGTCACACGGTGCCGTGGGCATGACCCAGGCCCTCCGCCGTCCACCCCACACCTCACCCCAGGCCTGGCCTGTGCCGGCTGCATGACCGTGCCTGGAGATGCTCATGGGGCAGCTGGGAGCCAGGCAGCATGCAGGACAGACGCCTGTGGGGTGGCCGGGGAGTCCAGAGAAGGTACTTTCGAGGAGGGGACATCTGGGGTAGGCTTTCAAGGTAAAATAGAAGTTGGCCATTTGGAGGAGAGAACAGGAAGATTGTGGATTTGGTCACAGCTTCTCCCCGCCCTGGTCTTCAGGTCTTTCCGATGGGAGGTGGGTGAGGACGGCGTCTCTGAGGAGGGTCGCCCAGCCGACACCTCCCATGCCAGGGGCTGCTGCTTGACTTGGGGTTTCTCATTGAAGACCTGAGACAAAAACGCCTTTGCTGGCAGCCGGAAGGAACCAGCAGGAGGCCTGAGATGATGGCTGCTGTTCCCGTGGACTGAGCCCAGTTCCCAGACTCAGCTGCCTGGGGCCTTGCACAGGGCTGGGGTGTGGGGGCTGCCCTCCCTGGTCAGGCCCAAAGTGCTGCTCCCACCCCTGGGGTTGGTTGCACCCTCTCAGCTCAGAGCAGAGTGTGGGCCAGGGACGAGCAGGCTCTGGAGCAGGGCCTTGGGGTCTGTCAGCTCCCTGCCCTTCAGTGGGGTCTGCTGAGCTCACAGGTGGCCCCTACCCTAGCAGCAGAGCACTTAGGAGACGTCTCAGGGCTGCGCTGCCCTCACCGCCCACCTCTACCAGAGGTCGAGGGTTGTTGGGAGAGAGCCTTGGCCTCTTGTCGACCCACACCCTCCGGGTTCCTGTCCTCCGCCTCTCTACCCCAAGGTGTGCTGGCCCCATTTCTAGGCCACCGGGAGATAAAGGGGTTCACATCCCAGGCCCTTCCTTCTGGGACCACAGTTTCTCTATCTGCCTAAGGCCAGGTGGGGCTGGTGGCCTCTGGCTTCCCTGCAGGGGTCCTGAGTACTCCACACTGCCCAGCACCCCCGACCCAGCCTTCGTCTCTCCTTGGCGGTGGCCTCTCCACCCATGGACCCCAATTGGGGCTAAGCCCCCGCCTGCCCGGCTTGGTGGGTGAGGGGTACTCCTAGCAGGATGTGCCGCTCTGCAGCCCAGAACACCCCAGCTTTCCAGACCGAAGGGGTGTAGGTTGTCCTGGGACCTTGGTCATTGGGGTCACCTGCTAATTGCAAAGGACGGCAATGCCTGTGGGCCTATCTTCCTTCCTCCTTCTTCCTTCCTTCCTTCCTTTCTCTTTCTCTCTCTCTCTTTCCTTCTTTCTTTCTTTTTCTTTCTTTCTTCCCCTCTCTCTCTTTTGAGACAGAGTCTCACTCTGTCATAAGGCTGGAGTGCAGTGGCACGATCTTGGCTCACTGCAACTTCCGCCTCCCGGGTTCAAGTGATTCTCCTGCCTCAGCCTCCTGAGTACCTGGGATTACAGGCGTGTGCCACCACGCCCAGCTAATTTTTTTGTATTTTTAGTAGAGATAGGGTTTCACCATCTTGGCCAGGCTGGTCTTGAACGCCTGACCTCGTGATCCACCCACCTTGGCCTTCCAAAGTGCTGGGATTACAGGCGTAAGCCACTGTGCCTGGCCATTTTTTTTTTTTTTTTTTTTGAGGTGAAGTCTCACTCTTGTCACCCCGGCTGGAGTGCAGTGGTGCAGTCTCGGCTTACTGCAACTTCTGCCTCGTAGGTTCGAGGGCATTCTCCTGCCTCAGCCTCCCGAGTAGCTGGGATTGCAGATGTCTGGCTGATTTTTGTATTTTTAGTAGAGACGGGGTTTCACCATGTTGGCCAGGCTGGCCTCGAACTCCTGACCTGATCTGCCTGCCTCATCTTCCCAAAGTGCTGAGATTATAGGCGTGAGCCACTGCGCCCAGCCACCCGTTACTTCCTTACTGTCGCAGGGGGTGGGTTCTGGCCCCTCCTTTGCACATAGTGAGTGACCTGACTCCCTGGGGCCTCAGTTTCCCCACTTGCCTAGTGGGATGGTTGGGAGGGTCCGGCGGGGCCCCTGTGTGCCCAGGCTCTGTGGCCAGCACATCCACAGCCCTGCTGTCCTTCCAGGTCGGAGGAGCGGCCAGTGAAGAAGCGCAAGGTGCAGAGCTGCCACCTGCAGAAGAAGCAGCTGCGGCTGCTGGAGGCGATGGTGGAGGAGCAGCGCCGGCTGAGCCGCGCCGTGGAGGAGACCTGCCGCGAGGTGCGCCGCGTGCTGGACCAGCAGCACATCCTGCAGGTGCAGAGCCTGCAGCTGCAGGAGCGCATGATGAGTCTGCTGGAGAGGATCATTGCCAAGTCCAGCGTCTAGGCCGGCGGGCGGCGGCGGGGCCAGGCAGGGCCGGGTGGCTGGTGGCGCTGATGGGGCCACCCAGGCCGGGCCACTCAGGCAGGCGGGCACGGGGGCTGCCCTGTGAGCAGGGACCGCCTTCCACCCGGCCTCTGGCAGGATCCCTTCTGAGGGGTGTTTTGAGGACCCTCCAGGCCCTGGGGACCATGAGGCTCCAGTCTCCAGCATGAATGCCCTTCCTCGGACACAGGCCGGGGCCTCTGGGGTTCACTCCGAGTAAGGACGTCCGAGATCAACTCTCCAGCGTCGTTACTTGAAGCGGCTTTGATAGGAAGTGTATACTTTCTCATTCTTGCCTGGAAAGCACGGTGAGGATGTCCCGATGGATGGATCCCAAAAATGAAAGCAGATGGAAACAGGCCGGGGCAGGCTGGAGCTGGGGTGAACTCCCTCCCAAAGGGAACCCCGTGTCCTCCTTCACTGGGACCTCTGCCTCTGTCCTTAAGTGGCCTGATGGAAACCCCAGGGGGACTTCCGGGAGGCTTTTGATTCATCTGTTTGGAACGTCAGGTGTTTCCGCTCCTCCTTAGCAATGACTCCAATAAAAGTCGTACCTGCTCACGTGCCCAGCCCTGTTGAATGTTCTAGGCCCTGGAGACGTCATGGTGGATGGCACAAAGGCCAGCCTCATGGAGCTGACGCTTCCCGTGGGGGGAAGACAAATGAGTCAATAGAGAAATGGTTGCAGGTTGTGATAAGTGCTGAAAGGGAGGGGATTGGTCTGAGGACCCGGAGCCAGACAGACACGGAGCTGAGCTGGGAACAGCAGCCACGCAGGGAATCACCAGTGCGAAGGCCCAGAGGCAGAGGACACCGGAGCAAGCCCCAGGCGCAGCAGCGGGCCGGCCACCAGCAGCCAGGCCACAGAGGGCCGAGCAGCCGGTGCGGAGGAGTGTTCGTGTTTTTCAAGCTTACTGCGAGTGTTACTGCAGTTCTGGACATGACATCCACGGGGGAGAGGCGCGTGGTGGAGCGGCCACAGCTACAAGCCCACCTCACTGCAGCCCTTCTACCAGGTGCTAACTCTTTCCAGAAGTTCCAGAGTTCCAGAAGCTGAATTCTCTATAAGCCTCGCTGGCCGGGACTTGGGCGTTTGGTTGTCCGGCTGCGAAGGAGGCTGGGGCCAGGTGTCTGTGAGTCATCTCCTGGAATTAGACAAGTTGCTGCCCATGGAAGGTTCTGTGGCAGGTGGGTCAGCAGGTGGGCAGCATGGTTTGACTCAGGGTTCAGAAATCTCCCTCTGGCTATGGGGTGAGCAGGCCACGGAGACAGGCATGCAGGCAGACCACGGAGACAGGCAGGAGGCAGGCCACAGAGGCAGGCGTGGAGGCAGGCCACGGAGACAGGCGTGGAGGCAGACCATGGAGACAGGCAGGAGGCAGGCATGGAGGCAGACCATGGAGACAGGCAGGAGGCAGGCATGGAGGCAGCCATCCTGCCAGGCAGTGCTGTGGTCATCCCACGAGAGGCAGCAGCAGCTCACCCAACCCTCTCAGGAGTCTTGAGGTCAGCCAGGCACGGGAGCAGCTTGGGCTCCACTAGACACGGCCCAGGCCTGTCTGTGTGAAGGAGAGGCCAGCAGAGGGCTGGGCAAGCAGAACTCACTTCGCTCTGAGGGTCTTGGGCATTCCGCCCTGCTCAGCGATCTCCCTGGAGCCCGTGTGTCGAGGACTCGGGCCGTGCGGCTGTGGGATGAGAGGCAGAGTGTCGCCAGGGCTTCATGAGTGGCAGCGGTGCTGTGATCTAGTTTCCAGCTGCCAGGTGACGCTGCTGACCCTGCAGTCAGGAAGAGGTGCAGAGAGGTTGCAAGCCAGTGTGGCGGCCACAGCACCTGCTGAGAAGCGGAAGCTGCCCCAGGAGGACAGAGGACGTGGACACATCTAGTGATGCAGACCTGAGTTTTGGGAGTTTGCTCAGGTGGGTTTCCAGCTCAGGTACCCACCTGCCTCGAAGGCAAGACACCACCCAAGAAAACATTTGCTTACAAATGCACTGGGCTCCCACCGGGCACCTGTGCCACCCTAGATGCTGGAAACACAGGCACCTGCCCCAGCTGCTGACCACTGCGGCTGGCTAGCCGCTCCCACGGGGCCAGTGTGGGGTTCCCGAGCCTCCTAACAGGGAGCCAGCCCCAAGCCCTCGAGAGCAGAGGGTGCTTGCAGCCCTGGCAGGAAGGTGATTGGGCTGTACACTCCGCGAGAGGTAACAGATGGAGGTTCTCAATGATGTGGCAACTTCTGCACCTCGCAGCCTCTCTGGAGTTGCAGTCACAACGCGCTGTGCTCCAGTAACCGCCAGGCATCCGTTAGAGCACGCCACAGGTCGCCGCTGTGCTGGGTTAGAAGTGGCTTCTCACCGTCTCTAGCCGGCGTTGCTGACTCATGCCCTTTCTGCCACCTCAGCAGGGGCCGGGATGCCAGTCCTTCTCCTGCAGCAGCGTCGTCTCAGGCCAGCAGAGGCCAGCCGCAGAACCTCCTGGGGTCAGTGCCTTTCGTCGGCAGCATGTCCTCAACAACGTTCTGATTTCTTCCTTAGTTTGTTGGTCCATTAAGGAGAAAAAATGATGTCACCTAATACCAAAATATTTGAGGAGATTCCGCAAAGCAGCATGCTGGCACTCAAAACGCAAACCAGGAGCCAGGCGGGTGAGCTTGTTCTTCGGCTCTAGTGTTCCGTGTTGTTTTGATGCTAATGCATTGAGATAAACAAGCAAAATAAGCAGGATAAGAGAGGAAGAAAGCAGAGTTACCTTTGTTTTCAGACCTCGTTTTTGTATATCCGGAAAGCCAAATCGAGGAAAGCTCGGGAGCTCCTTAAACCACCCTGAACTTGTTAACAATGTGAATGAAGAAACATCCCATTCAGAGTTGGAATGAATTTACCCCCAAAGGGAGAGGATCTACACCGGAGGACACGATGCACTCTTACTGAAACATGGAAAGAATACCTGAGCACCAGAGAGGCTCAACGTACTCCCGGGAGCGCCAGAGTACCGTGTCGCCATTTTGTGAATGTGATTCCAACCATACTCTCAATAACACTGCTTTCTGTTCTGTTTTGTTTTGAAATGAACACGATGATGTTTAAATTCATACGAAAAAAGAACAGGGCCAAAGGTCCAAGGCCAATCAGCATGAAACGACCGATGAGCCCCGCTCGGGGTTGGGGAGGGGGAACTGCAGACTGAGCTCACGGGGCTTCTGGGGACCAGGAAGAACGTCAGGAAATGGAAACTCCTGCGTGCCTGGCGGAGTGTGAACTGGAACAGCCACTGCCAGGGGCAATGTGGTGGCCCCTCCCGGAGCTGAAGAAACCCAGATTCCTCCCCTGGGCGGTACCACTCCCAGACATGTCACCCTGGGGCAGCCCCTCTCAGACTGGCCTGAGGACCCCTCAACACTCTTAAAAACCATGAAAAGTGCCAAAGAGCTTTTGCTTGTGTGAGTTCTAATGACCGATAGTAATACGCATTAGAATACCTTATTAGAAATTAAACCTGAGACGTTTGGAAAACCTGTATTCATTTCAAAATAGCAATAAACCCATGACATGTTAACAAAAATAACAATTGTACGAAAAATATGTTTTCCCAAACAAAAAGTTTGAGGGAGAAGCGTGACATAGTTTTACATTGTGGTAAATCTCCGGCTTGAGAGAAGCCCGCTGGCCTCTCATCAAGCTCTGGGTCCATCTGCTGTGGGGTGTTTTGGTCGGGAAGTATAGGGGTAAATGGAGAATCTCAGCCTTACCCAGATCTGTATTTGAAAACAAAAGGAACATGTTAGCAACCTTTGCAAATAATGGGGATATTCTTCCTTGATCCTCTTCCAACGCTGGACAGGCGGTGGCTTTTTTAAAGGCTGCTTGTGATGTGGAATCTGAAACGGTATCAGTGAGATTTCACTCGTTTCAGGAGAAGCCATTGGTCCGTCTCGTGCTTCCAGGACTCCGTCCACCGCGCTCTCGTGACCTCCCACACTGGGCGTTTGGTTCACCAAGTTAGGCAGATCTTCCAAATGCTGACAGTTCCTTAATCAGTATTTTAAAATCACTTTTGGCGATATCACCAATCTTAGCAGAAAAGTCTTTAAGTTGGAAAGGGCGTGAGCTCAAGGTAGTGGATACAAGTTTTTCAGAATCCTGACTTTTGCATGAAAGCTTGAATTTTATTTGCTGTCAGCTATTTTCTTTGAATGTGACAGGCTCGCTTTGTTCATTAAAAAAAAAAAAAAAAAAGTCCGCCAGGACACCCAAGGCTGAACAACTGAGTTTTTGCACATCCTTTTTTCCAGTGAAAAGCGTGTTCCGTACGTGTGTTCCGTACGGCAGCTCAACCGATGGCATAAATGCGTTTCCTCAACGTGGGCCTGGGGCAGAAGCTCCACAGGCACGTCTTCCGATGGGTCAGGCAGAACGCCGAAGAGATGTGGACTCGGGGGTCAAGGTCTCACACATGCAACATTTCGCTCCATCAAGGACATTGGAAGTGACTGGGTTTTGCACTGCAGCTGTGGGTGGGGAAGGCCTCAGGGCGGTGCCAGGGCCTGGGGCCTGCCTGTGTTCCTGCGCAGAACCCGCCACGCAGTGCACACATCAGCTCCGGGAAGACCCTGTCATCATCAGACTATGATGAAAGCAGCTGCAGCTTCAGGGACCCTCGGGGGCCCACCAGCCAAGATCGGAACACCCCTGGCTGAGTGCTGGAGCATGCAGACAGGTGACCCGAGCAAGCTTCGTCTGTCCTTGCCTGGCGCCTGGAGCTGGCTTGCTGGCGTGGTGGGTGGACGCCCGGGCGCTGCCACACGAAGGCCCCTCCATGCTGCTGAGTGCGGTCATCAAGGACAATGCGTGGGAACCGTACCCCCAAGAGGCCCCAGAGGATTCCCCTGCTATCTCCTCGGCACTGGATACAGAGTCAGGCGGAAAGCAAATACAAATCTTTGTCTTTACGTGTTTTGAGTTGAGGGTGGGGCTAGACCATAGCTAAACACGTAAGTGTCCGGTATGTTAGGAGAGAAGTGCTTTCCAGGGGGGTAGGCTGCAGGGGATCCAGGCCGTGCGGGAACAGAAGGCCTCCCCAAAATGTCATGTGAGCAGATGGGATGGGAGGGGTCCCCTCACCTGGGCCCTGGGAACGGCACTGTCAAGGAGGGAGCCGGCTCTGAGGGGAGTGACCCGGACAGGAACACCCTGCTTTCTGCTGGGACAAGACGGTCCTGGAGAAGGGGATGAGGGGGGGTGCAGAGCCCCGAGGTGGGTGAGGGGTGCTCAGGAGGCATCCTGGCCTGGGTGAGGACAGGATG